GGGAGGGATTTGCCTTTAAAAATAAGAAAGAAAAGAAAAGTTCCTGAGCTAAGACAAAAATGTGTCTGTCCTTTCCATTTCTAGATCCGTGGATGGAGGAAGGGCTACCGCCGTGGAGAGCGTCTGCACCTACCGAAGCAATTCCACGACCCCTCGCTTCGACCGAACTGAAATCCACCAGGGCTTGACCGATGAATCAAACGGCTTCACCATTATGGGGCCCTACGCTCTGGACAGCAACAGTCTTCGTGTGGACGGTAACCAGTGGATTTTCACCTAATGATTTTTTTTTAACAAAGCCAGTGTTGAGACAGTGAGCGCCAGGAACCAGGAGGGTAAAACGAGCAGCGTACAGAAAGATACCTGTTCAGACTCCCACTCTGCCATTAAAGCCTGGGCCAGTTTCAATTTTTTTCAGCTTAATCCACCTTGCAGGGTTGTTGTGTGACCGAAATGGAGAAATGGGGAAACCCGTATATTCCCTGCGCTCCTTGGCAGAAGGACCCAGGAAGCAGTGTTCCCTCTAAGCCAAGTTAGTGTGATCTAGCTCGCAGTTTTTTAGCCTCCGGCTCACACATTTTTGTCTTAGCTCAGGAAGGATGGCTCGAAAGCAGACGAATGGACACAGGAACCAGTGTTCCCTATAAACCGAGTTAGTGTGAGCTAGCTCGTAGTTTTTTAGCCTCCGGCTCACACATTTTTGTCTTAGCTCAGGAAGGATGGCTCGAAAGCAAACTAATGGACACAGGAACCAGTGTTCCCTCTGAGCCGACTTAGTGTGAGCTAGCTCACAGTTTTTTAGCCTCCGGCTCACACATTTTTGTCTTAGCTCAGGAAGGAGGGCTCCAGAGCAAACTAATGTATGCAGTGGCCAAATCGGTCGCTCACATCTTTAATGCCAGTTGCTCATGAAGTAGAATTTTTGCTCACTGGACTCCACAGCTTAGAGGGAGCATTGCACAGGATGAAAACGGGATCAACAAAGAATGACAGAAGAGACTCTGTCTATGGGGCAGTATTGATGACGCAAGCCATGAGTTAGCAGAGGTCTCACCAGCGCACTGCAGACCTCCCAAGCTGTTCTTTTTCAATTATTTTTGTGTTTTATTTTTATACGATCGCTGCAAGCCTTTTCGTAGCACCCATTCTTCATAGCTGCCTTTGCCAAATGCTTTGTTTCTTTATCCTATATGCCATTTCAAGTTCAAGATAGCCTTTATTGGCATAAATTGTTGATACAGATTATACAATTTATGTCATTTCTATGCAATCAGTGCAAAAAATAATGTTTAAAATGCACCAATTTTGACAGGAGAGCATTCATGGCAAAGACAAAAGTGCATGAAAATCAAAGATTTGAGTGTTCAGGTCGCACAAGGGAGACACAAACGGAGGCAATCTGGCAGGCATGAGAAATGGATTTATTTTGGGGGGTTTGCCTTTCAACGAAATGGTTCCCAAGGTGGTTTACAAAATAATTTTTAAAAAAGCAAAATAAAGTCACATACTGAAACATGATATAGAGGAGACAGTTTAAAGTGGTGACACTACAGTGCCATTTAAATAAAGGTAAACAGTAAAGGTTTCCCTTGCTCGAAAGCCAGTCGAATCCGACTCTAGGGGGTGGTGCTCATCTCCGTTTCCAAGCCGAAGAGCCAGCGCTGTCCGGAGACTTCTCCGTGGTCATGTGGCCGGCATGACTAAACAACAAGGCGCACGGAACACTGTTACCTTCCCACCAAAGCGGTACCTATTTATCTACTTTCAATTTCTTGCTTTTGAACTGCTAGGTTGGCAGGAGCTGGAACTAGAGACGGGAGCTCACTCCGTCACACAGGACTCGGGTCTCGAACTGCCGAGCTACTGACCTTCCGGTCTGCAGCTCAGCATCTTCTTCTAAGCCACTGTGGCCCCTCCCGCCATTTAATTACTCAGACACAAGGACTATCTTGAAAAGATGGGTCTTCAGACCCCCCCCCCAACTCCAGGTTGGGAAATTCCTGGAGATTTGGGGGGTGCAGCCTGAGGAAGGCAGAGATTCAGGAGGGGAGGGACTTCAGCCGTAGACGATGCCAGAGAGTCCGCCCTCCAAAGCGGCCATTTTCTCCAGGGGAACTGATCTCTGTCGTCTGGAGATCAGTTGGAATTCTGGGAGATCTCCAGGCCCCATCTGGAGGCTGGCATCCCTACCAATGCTCCCTCTAAGCTATGGATTCTTATGAGCAGAAATCCTACTTTGTGAGCTCCTGGCATTAAAGTTGTGAGCGAGCGATTTGGCTGCTGCATCCATTAGTCTGCTCTGGAGCCCTCCTTCCTGAGCGAAGACGAAAACGTGTGAGCCAGAGGCTAAAAAACTGTGAGCTACCTCACACTAACTCAGCTTAGAGGGAACACTGATCCCTCTCCTGTTCCCAAGGCCTGCATCCTGGTGAGACTGGAGGGCTCGAGAGGGTCGCTAGGTCCCCACGGGGATGGGGGAGGTAGGGTTGCCAGATCCAGGTTGGGAAACTCCTGGAGGTTTGGGGGTGGAGCCTGGGGAGGACAGGGACCTCAGTGGGGGGTCCAGTGCCACAGAGCCCACCCTCCAAAGCCTCCATTTTCTCCAGGGGGACTGATCTCCATAGTCTGGAGAGGAGCTCTAATTCCGGGGGATCCCCAGGCCCCACCTGGAGGCTGGCATCTTTAGGATCTGGGCATTCTTGAGTTGGCGACAAATCCTTTCAGGATGAGGGCCGCTCCGGCCATTGTAGGTGTGATAAAGTGCCATCACGTGACAGCTGCCTGATGGCGGCCCCATAAGATTTCCAAGGCTTGAGATGAACAGAGGTGGTTTGCCATTAGAGCTGACTTGCGGGGCTTTCTAGGCAAAAGCTGTGCAGAGGCGGTTTGCCATTGCCTGCCTCTGCGTAGCAACCCTGGCCCTTTTTTTATGGTCTTCTTCCCCAACTTCTAAGGAGCTGCGGTGGCTCAGGTGGTTAAGACGCTGAACTGCAGGCTGTGGAAGGTCGGTAGTTCAGCAGTTCGAGACCCGAGTGCACTGCATGATGGAGTGAGCTCCCGTCTCTAGTCCCAGCTCCTGCCAACCTAGCAGTTCGAAAGCAAGAAATTGCAAGTAGATAAATAGGGACCACTTCAGTGGGAAGGGAACAGCGTTCCACGCGCCTCCTTGGTCATGCCAGCCACATGACCACGGAAACGTCTTCGGACTGCGCTGGCTCTTCGGCTTTGAAACGATGAGCACCGCAACCCTAGAGTCGCACTCGACTGGCTTTCGAGCAAGGGAACCTTTACCCAACTTCTACCCAAGTACTAACCATGGCTGACCCTGCTTAGCTTTCAAGACTTGATAAGATCGGGCTAGGCATCCAGGCCAGGGCACCATTTAATCACTCAGATTCAAAAGCTCTCCGGGAAAGTTAGTTCTGTGAACTTAGGCTGATCATGGAGAGGGAGGGCAGGAAGGGCTGCATCAGTGCTCAGTTCTTGTGGCTCTTTCTTGCATGCTCGGGGAAATGCCGATCGCCACGTTGGGGTCAGGAAGCAATTTTTCCTCCAGAAGAAGAAGAGAAGAAGAGATTGGATTTATACCCCATCCTTCACTACCCAAAGGTGTCTCAGAGCAGCTTACAAACTCCTTTCCCTCCCCCCTCCCCACAACAGACACCCTGTGAGGTGGGTGGGGCTGAGAGAACTCTGACAGAAACGGCTCTTTTTCAAGGACAGCTGTGCCAGAGCTTGTGACTGACCCAAGGTCACATCAGCAGGTGCAAGTGGAGGAGTGGGGAATCAAACCCGGTTCTCCCAGATTAGAGTCCGCACACTTAACCACTACACCAAACATCTTTTGGGCATGGAACAGGGGTCACTGGGGGTGTAGAGGGAGAGGTATTTGTGAGTTTCCTGCATGGTGCAGGGGGTTGGACGCGATGACTCTGGAGGTCCCTTCCAACGCTCTGATTCTATGAAAGAGAGGCTGTAGAAACGACTCACCATTCACTGCAGCTCATGACCCTATCCCTGATGATTACGCTAGTTTTGCGTTCCAGTTTTTTAAAAATGCCGTCATTTTAATTTCTAGGTTATCCTGAGTCACCAAGCGTTATCCGTAAGTATATTGAAGCACTGCACAACATTTAAAATACTCCGGAAAGTTTCATTCAAATGGATTAGCGGGTTGGAGCACCTTCCCTATGAGGAAAGGCTAAAGAGTCTAGGGCTTTGCAGTTTAGAAAAGAGAGGACTGGGGCGGGGGCATGAGAGAGGTTTCTAAAATTATGCTTGGGGTGGAGAGAGTTGACAATGACAATTTTTTTCCCTCCGTTTCCCAAAATACTAGAACTGGAGAGCATCCAATGAAGCTGATGGGCAGTAGGCTCAGACAGACAAAAGGAAAGACTACTTTATACAGAGAGTGACTAAAATGCAGAATTCACTGCCAGGGGATGCAGTGATGGCCACAGGAATAAACAGCTTCCAAAGATGATTAGAAAGTTTTATGAAGGATAGGTCTATCAATGGATACTAGCCATGTTGACTGAGGCAACCTCTGCTTTCAGAGGCACTAAGCCTCTGCATCCCAGAGCCAGGAGGCAACATCAGGGAAAGGCCTCGGCCTCTAAGCCCTGTTGCTGGCCCTCCAGAGGAACTGGCTGGCCGCTGTGTGGGACAGGATGCTGGACTAGATGGACCACTGGTCTGATCCAGCAGGGCTCCTCTTATGTTCTTATCAGGGAAGGCCTCGGCCTCTCTGCCCTGTTGCTGGCTGTCCAGAGGAACTGGCTGGCCGCTGTGTGGGACAGGATGCTGGACTAGATGGACTTCTGGTCTGATCCAGCAGGGCTCCTCTTATGTTCTTATTTCTATCCCGAAACTGGCATTCTCCTCTCTTCCAGATGTCACTGCTGCCCCTACCACCACCACCACCACCACCACCACCACCACCCCCAGGACTCCAACTGTTGGGCATTTCACCGTGAACTGCACTTTCACCAACCTGCGTTATACAAGGGACCTAGGAATGCGTGGATCCCGAAAGTTCAACTCCACAGAAAGAGTCATGCTATATTATGTAAGTGTCACATCCTACTCCTCCTCGTAGGGCAGTGCTAAAGCTTTCAGGGAAACGTGGGGCCTGCTGTCAAAAATGGGAGCTCTGCATTTGCATACGTAATTTAGTTCAGCATTTATAGTCTTTCTTAGAAAACAGTTTACCACGAGCATTAAAAACCTAATGTGCAAGGTGGGGAGCTGTGCCTCAGCGCACAGCGCATGGTTTGTGGTCCCGGGTTCAATCCCCTGGCATCTCAAGGTAAAAGTTTAAGAACTCTCTTTGCCCCGGAGAATCACTCCCTACCAGTGTTCCCTCTAAGCTGAGTTAGTGTGAGCTAGCTCACAGGTTTTTTAGCCTCCAGCTCACACATTTATGTCTTAGCTCAGGAAGGAGGGCTCCAGAGCAAACTAATTTATGCAGTAGCCAAATCACTCGCTCACAGCTTTAGTGCCAGTAGCTCACAAAGTAGAATTTTTGCTCACAGGACTCCACAGCTTAGAGGGAACATTGCTCCCTACCAGAGTAGATGGCAGTGGATAAGATCCAGTGCTATACAACAGCTCCACCTATTCATGAGAGTCGTGATGTCTGAGCTCAGAGCAGCATGTTTGCACACAGCAAGCGGGGGGACTCATGAAGCCACAAAACGTGGGGATATTTATTTATTTATAATTAAATTAGATTTCTTAACCGCCCTTCCCCGCTTTTGCGGGGCTCAGGGCGGTTTACAACAATTAATTCAATACATTATGAAATCGATTGAAACCATCAAAAATCCCAATATTAAATAAACGTTCAGAGGCATTTAAGCATTGAAAATGTTTCAAGACAAGATGGCAGTGCTAGCGTTCAGTCATGGAGGGGAGGGGTGTGTGTGCCAGGTAGATGTAAGGAGCCATCGCTGGACTCAGCTGAAGGCCTGGCGGAACATCTCTGCCTTACATGCCCAGTGGAACGTTGAGAAGTCGGGCAGGGCACGGATGTCATTCGGCAGGGAGTTTCACCAGGCTGAAAAGGCCCTGGCCCTGGTCAAGGCCAGCTGGATATCTTTGGGGCCATGGACCACCAGAACGTTCGGACCTGATCCTTCTCCCCGCTGGACCCCCAGTTCCCCCTCTCTTGCCTCCAGTTTCCTTCTGCCCGGTCCTCCCACCCATTCATCCACCTTCTCTCCTGCTTGTCCACTTTCAGGCACAGTAAAGTGAGGGAAGAAGCAGTTGTGGGGGAGGAGGAAGCTCTCAGTGGCTATTGCCTCCGTGGTTTGATGCTTCCTTTTGGATTGCTACGGCTAGGGGGCGCTGTGGCACAGGGGAAGAGCCTCTGCTTTGTGTGCAAAAGCTCCCAGTTTCAATCCCCGGCATCTCCAGTTAAAAAGACCAGGCAGTAGGCAATATGAAAGATGTCTGTCTGAGAGCCGCTGCCAGTCTGAGTAGACAATACTGATCTTGATGAGCCAAGGGGTCTGATTCAGTACAACGTAGCTTCGTGTACCTCGTCTGACTTCTCCTCCCTACAAGGTCTGCACATGGGTAGACTTCGCTTGGTGAGGTTTGGGGCAGGGGTTACTCCGAGGTGTTTTTTAAAAACATTGTTTTGTGTTTCTGCAAACCTGGGATTTGCCCTGGTTTGCTGAAATCTGAATATTTGGGCTATCCGATGTATAGATCACTCCAGGCTTTTTTTTCCTGGGGGAGCGCGCCGGAACCGAGTTCTGGAACCTCTTTGACAAAATTCTTTTAAAAAATATTTAAAAGTTCATGAGTTTTCAGTATACAGATCGAAAATTTTGTTTCCCTCTTGAGAGTTCTGGCACCTCCCCCCCCCAAAAGCCCTGGATAATTGTCTACTGTTTTCCACGTTGCAGTCCAAGGGGAGTATCAGAACTCGGTTCTTCCATCTTGATTTGTGAACAGACCCTCCCTGCCTCCCTTCCTTCTTGCTCCCCCCACCCCCGGTGTATGTCACAAATTCACACTCTTATCTTTTCGTTCCCAGATGGAGCCCATTCTCAATAACACCAGCATCGGGCCCGCATTCATTCGGTGCCAAGTGGAGAACTTTCGGTAAGAGGCTGTGCCGAAGCTGTAGGGCGGTGCTATAACCAATCTTAAAAAACCCCAAACAGTGCAGAGGGAAATGTGGGGTACCAGACACAAACAATTCAAAAGGCAAAATCTAGAGAAGTCCCTCAAAGGAGGGCCGGCTTTAACAATGAACACCGCAGTTCCCTCTGGTGAAAACGTTTCTGTACAAAAAGTCTCCGTCATATTTTTTGGGATGTTTTCGTGCAGTGAAGCAGGGAAGAGAGAAAGCGAGCAACTGGCCTACGGTCACCCCAAGAGCTTCATGGCTGGGTTGCCAGCTCCAGGCTGGGAAATTCCTGCAGATTTAGAGGCAGAGCCTGGGGAGAGTGGAGTTTGGGGAGGGATATGACGTCACAGAGGGTGTGATCACACGAGCAGTTTGGCCTGATGTTGCCAGCCCTACCCTCCGGATCAAACGGGTGCGGTCACACAGCCATATCTGTCAGGCGTTCCCCAGGCACACTCACCACGTCGTAGGATGACTTGGAGCCAGGTTAAAAGGCACCACATCACAAGTGGTGCTTTTGGTTCCTCACGCATTCATTGCGCATGGCCGGATGTTCGAATGCAGGGGAGCATGCGCAGAATAGATTGGCGGTCTGAACCCGCAGATCTGTTCCCGCCGCTAGGGTGGGGTTTTTTAAAAAGTTTTTTCCTATATGTGTATGTGTGCACCTGCACATATGCATGCATATGAGCACATATGTGCATGCATGTGCGCACATGCACCCACCTGCATTTTAAGAAATGACCAGGCAGTGCGCTCCGTGGCCGGGGCACTGCAGTAATTTGGATGCTTGTCCACGTTTGTAACCTGCCGCAGGGTGTGCTGTCTGGATGATATCCCCTCAAACCGGTATGTCGCACCAAGCCGCCAGTGTGACCACACCCAGAGTCCACCCTCTGAAGCTTCCATTTCTTCCAGGGGAGCTGATCCCTGTCACCAAGACATCAGTTGTAATCCCAAGAGAACTTCAGGCCCCACCTGCGGGTTGGCAAAACTACCAAGTGGAGATTTGAACTCGCATCTCACCATGCCCAACCTGAAACGCTAGCCCCTATAACACCCTAGTTTAATGCTGCTGATTTACAAAACGTGGAACAATAATTCCCCTCATCGACTAGGTTCTAAAATTCTAAGCCGGTTTAACAAATGAAGCCAACGCAGTGTCCTTCCTCCAGAGTAAAAGCCCCAGACGCTTCAGCCTTTCTTCTTAAGTGGCTGAAGCAGGGCTTTGGACAGGCAGTATATATTCTAAATAATAAAAGAAACAGCAATAGCTAAGGTCTAGATTCGAGAACAGTAGCACCATAGAGACTGTGGCATCCTCACTTATTGGGGAGACTGTTTCTCCTTTAAAACACACTCTGTGTACATGAATTTAGTAGTTTTCAGCTGCCACCAGGAATTAAAAATTCCAAATATCTCTATTTTGGTAGAATGACCCAGTGTCTGGGCGCCTCAGAGGACTATGTGGCCCTGAAGAAGGACTGTTCTGATTCCTGGGATAAGTTTAAACAAATAATGATTTATTTATATAAGAACAAAATAGATTTCTGGGTATTTTTGAACTGTTGTTAAAAATAGAAAATATAACTGACAAGGCTTGGCATCACACACAGTCTCTCATACACCAAAGCTCCACTCTGACAGGCTTAGACAGTCAGTCTAATCTCTCTCTCTCATATATATAGCCACACAGGCTGAACTCTTTGTCTTATTCACACGGAATAGACTCCAACTCTCATATTCATACAGACTAAACTGTTTGTCTTATTCACACAGACTAGACTCAAAAACGCCCAGGCCGATTTCCCACAAGCTGCTGCTCCGTGCTCGCTCTTCCCTTTGCCCCAATCCTACGTGTCAATGTCACACTTCGCCCGATTTTCCCCGCATCTACTCAATCCTCAAAAAACAGGATTGAGTAGACACGGAGGAAATCAGGTGAAGTTGTGGGGCAAAATGCTGCCGCGTAACATAGTGAGAAATTGACACGTAGGATCGGGGCAAAGGGAAGAGCGAGTGCGGAAATCGGTCCCATAGTCACACAGACTATGATCTCTCTCCAAATGTCACACACAGAATCCTCTCAGAGACACCCCTCCTCCCACACTCTCAGTCATCAGCCAATCACATCACACTTGTCTCCCTCTATCACTCTCTTTACATTACTGCAGTCAAACTAAACATTTAAAGAAACACACACCCCAAAACATGAAATCATTACAAAGAGACCAACAAGCATTTCAGGGTATAAGCTATGAAGAGTCAGATCTCTCTTCGCCAGGCTCAGGCTTATCTGACAAAGGGAGTTTTGACTCTTGAAAGTTTCTACTTTGAAAATTTCATTGGGCTCTCAGGTGCGACTGGACTCAAATCTAGATCTTCTTCTGCTGACCAACACAGCGATCCTCCTGACACTAACAACAAAGGTATTCCCCTCCCCGGATCATTTTGGTCGCGCTTTTCTGCATCTTCGCCCATGACCACGATATCCTTTTTGAGAGACATTAACATATAATTTTTAATACAGATTTACTGAAGTGCCAGTCATGTCAAAAAGTTCACACGTTTTGTAGGAAAAGAGAGAGAGAGAGAGAGAGAAAATGGCAAAAATTAAGAATTACCGTCTGTCCGCACGAGGGACAAGCGAAATAAAAATGGTGGTTCTTGATTTCAGCTGGAGTGCTTGCAAAATCAGACAGCCTTTCTAGAGATTTGCTCCTCTGTCCCTCTCTGTAGTGAGAGCCCACTGTCCTGTCCTGTCATAGCGTGGATGGTGGAGCGAATGAGGACCTCCTACTGCATTTTACTCACTGATCAAGAAGGTTCTCTGTGGACCTGGAGATGTTCTGCCTCCTGCCGTGGCCTCAGTAAAGCGGGCAGCCTCCTCTTTCCCAGCGTGCACTAACACACATTTGCGTTTTCTTAGGGCCGCACAGACCGGAAATGGTGTGACTATGAACGCTGTCTGCAACTACCAGAAAGATCTT